AGCGTGAGAGAGAGATTGAGCCTGTGTTTGTGCGAACCTGTGTGTGTGTGTGTGTGTGTGAACCTGTGTGAGCGTGAGAGAGAGATTGAACCTGTGTGTGTGCGAACCTGTGTGCGTGAGAGAGATTGAACCTGTGTGTGTGCGTGCATGAACCTGTGTGTATGTGAACCTGTGTGTGCGTGAGAGAGAGATTGAACCTGTGTGTGTGTGAACCTGTGTGTGTGTGAACCTGTGTGTGTGTGAACCTGTGTGTGTGTGAACCTGTGTGTGTGTGAACCTGTGTGTGTGTGAACCTGTGTGTGTGTGAACCTGTGTGTGTGTGAACCTGTGTGTGTGTGAACCTGTGTGTGTGTGAACCTGTGTGTGTGTGAACCTGTGTGTGTGTGAACCTGTGTGTGTGTGAACCTGTGTGTGTGTGAACCTGTGTGTGTGTGAACCTGTGTGTGTGTGAACCTGTGTGTGTGTGAACCTGTGTGTGTGTGAACCTGTGTGTGTGTGAACCTGTGTGTGTGTGAACCTGTGTGTGTGTGAACCTGTGTGTGTGTGAACCTGTGTGTGTGTGAACCTGTGTGTGTGTGAACCTGTGTGTGTGTGAACCTGTGTGTGTGTGAACCTGTGTGTGTGTGAACCTGTGTGTGTGTGAACCTGTGTGTGTGTGAACCTGTGTGTGTGTGAACCTGTGTGTGTGTGAACCTGTGTGTGTGTGAACCTGTGTGTGTGTGAACCTGTGTGTGTGTGAACCTGTGTGTGTGTGAACCTGTGTGTGTGTGAACCTGTGTGTGTGTGAACCTGTGTGTGTGTGAACCTGTGTGTGTGTGAACCTGTGTGTGCGTGTGTGTGTGTGTGTGAGCCTGTGTGTGTGTGTGTGTGTGTGTGAGAGATCCAGAGGCTCGGAAGGGCGGGATGGCGTGAGAGTGAGAATGGGAACGGGGGGCAGGGCGCGTCAGAGGAAGGAGGAAGAGAGAGAGAGATTGAACCTGTGTGTGCAGAACTGGCTTAAGCCTCTAAATAAGAAAACAATTCAAACTGATAATAGTGAAAATGTTGCAGGCTGCCTGACCAACATGAGCCTGGCAGCACAATGTCTCTGCATTTCAGTTCTGAGAACAGAAATCTTGCTTGTTCCCTTTGCTCAGAAAAGATTAAATCAGAATTAAAATAATGATAAATTATGTTACCATGATTTTTATCAGCATCGATGATCAGTCATAGGATTATATTGCCCTGGTGACTGAACATGTGTGTCAGATCAAGGTAAAATGCATTATGAACCTGTGTGTGTGTGAACCTGTGTGTGCGTGAGAGAGAGATCAAACCTGTGTGTGTGTGAACCTGTGTGTGCATGAGAGAGATCAAACCTGTGTGTGTGAACCTGAGTGTGTGAACCTGTGTGTGCATGAGAGAGAGATCGAACCTGTGTGTGCGTGAACCTGTGTGTGAAAGAGAATGTGAACGTGTGTGTGTGTGTGTGTGTGAGAGATCCAGAGGCTCGGAAGGGCGGGGGGGCGTGAGAGTGAGAATGGGAACGGGGGGCAGGGCGCGTCAGAGGAAGGAGGAGGAGAGGCTGCCGGGTTACCAAGGGAGGCCGACTACAGGCAGTAAAACGGATTGCTCTGGAAACGGGGCTGTGTTTATCCTCTGGCGGGAAACGGAGGCAGAGGGTGAGGAACCAGTGTCTCGGCTATTGGGGCGAAAGGAAAGAGGTCTGGGGAGCCTGGAATGACCCACTTGGCGTTCGTCTCGGCTCAGTACACGTGTCCGTGGTGGCTGCTGCTTGTGGCAATCAGGGCGGGTGTGACAGAGGGAGGAGCCTGCTGCTGTTCAGATGGAGTGTGCCGGAGCTGTTAGCACCCTCAGCGCTCCTTGGTTTGGACCAGCCACCCGGGACAAGGTTGTGTACGTGGCCTGTGGGCTTCAGACGGACCCATCCTCTCCCTGCAGCCTAAGTCTGCCAAGCCAGTACCAGGGAGGAGGAGTCCAGAGAGCTGCAAAGCGCTACTGTGGCCGTTCCATTCCTGGGGATACAGCTGGTGCTCCAGGGGACTGGAACAGGTCGGGGGTGCAGCCGTGACACGGGGCAGGCGGTTCCTGGGAGCTGCAGGCAGTGCAGGACATGACCTCAGGTGCTGTGATGGTGGGAAAGGACCCACCCACGGTTTGGCTCTTGAGCGCTATCGGCAGGAAAGGGGATGTAATCCTGGGCCGGGCCGGGAGCTGAGGGGTGCATCTGCACCTTGCCTCTGGCGGCTGCTCAGTGCTGTGACCAGAGCAAAGGAGTCGTCGACCTGGCTCTTACGGGTGTGAAGTGTCAAAGGGGGCCCCCTTGGGCTCCTTGTCTGAGATTCCCAGAGCTGAGATGCAGTGGAAGGTGGGAATCTTGTAAAGGAGTGAGGCCGTGTCAGCCCAGAGCCCCCAGCTGCTGCGGTAGAACAGAGGATCCCAGGTCTGGTGACCTCAGTGCTCGGGGGCCTGGGCCGTGGATTGTCCTGGCAGAGAGGTGCTTGCCGTCTTTGATAGTCGAGGGGTTGGCTGCTAAGCCAGCCAGTGAGCAGTGAATGTTCTTGGACCATCCCCCACAGCTGGGTAGCTGAGTGCCGTGTGCGAGTGTCACGTGAAGACGGGAGTTCTTTTCTGGGTCCAGCAGACTGGACAGCCATGCTTGGTTCATTCCGTACTGCTCCGTCCCGGCCACGTGCTACTTCGGCTCTGCCTAGGTGGAGCCATTAAAACCCTGCAGCTGCCTCACTCTCTGGGGCTGCAAAGTGTCTAGGTAGATGCGTAGGCTGGAGCCCAGCCTGTGGGAGCCGCCACCCTTGTAGAACCCAGGGCTCAGGCAAGCGCTGCAGCCTGAGTCAGCTGACCTGGGCCAGCACAGCTGGGATGCAGGATTCTAATCCCCATTTAGAAGGCGTCAGAGTGGAGCGAGAGAGGACGCTGGGGATCATGAGAGGAGCGAGTGGCTTTTGGAGAAAGTGTTTCCTGATGTTAAAAGTTTCTCTTCCCACCTGTGTCTTCTCCTCCCATCCCGTGCCTCTTGGTTTGTCTAGCTCTGCCTTCGGACGGACCTGGACTTGGGGAAGGCGGGCTGCCTGGATTCCAGTGCTAACACCTGTCCAGAGAGACCATCCCCGCTCAGCTCGGGCCTCCCGGATCTGCCTCCACAGTCCTCCGTTCCCTTGGCATCTGAGAGCAGCTTCCCAGGAAAGGCTGGAGAGGCACAGCTGCTGCTAAGAAGCTCTGAGCAGGCCTTCCGGACAGAGTTTAATTTAATGTATGCCTTCTCCCCTTTGAACGCTATGCCCCGTGCCGATGGGTTGGTGCGGGCTAACCCTCAGGCAGGAGACAGGAAGCCACTGACTTCAGAAGGGGCATGCTGCATCTCTCCTGCAGACGGATACTTCAGCAGACATGAGCTGGGACTTCTTAAAGAGACAGTGCACGGATCCATGTCTCCTGCTGGCGAGAGGGTTGGTGAAGGAGTCAAATCTACTCCCCAAAACCCACCACAAAGGAAGAAGGCAAGTATGAAATCACAGGTGATATCAATTGAGAGGGGTGGCCAGTGCCAGGGGGAGAGGAATAACCCAAAGACTCTAGAGAGACTAGAGCCATGGGCAGAAATAACAATTGAGACTCAGCTTGATGAAGCTAATACATGTGAGGAGAAAGAACCCGAACACCTACACTGAATGAGTGAGAGAGAGGCTGAGGCAGACCAGCAAATGGACAGGGAGTTGCCAAGGCTTTGAACTAAGGCATTGGAAGGGCCCATGGAGTAGTAACAGGTAGGTGGGAAGCAAGACTAAGAGGAAAATCAGCTGAAGAGAGTTGGCAGCTTTTCACAGGAGCATTAAGGGCCCAAAAGCAAATGATTCTGCTGTGTACGAATGACAGAAAGTCTGGCAAGGGACAACCTTAGCTTAGCCAGGAGACCTTACATGATCTAAAAATCAAAAAGGAGTCATATAAAAAGTGGAACCTAGGTTAAACTACAAAAGATTAATATAAGCAAATAATGCAAGTCTGTAGGAGCAAGATTAGCAAGACCCAGGCACAAAACGAGCTCGGTCTAGCTAGAAACATAAAGGATAACAAGAAAACATTCTACAAATATATTAGGAGCAAGAGGAAGACTAAGCACAGGGAAGGCCCACTGCTCAGTGAGGAGGGAGGAACAACAACAGAAACTTGGAAATGGCAGAGGTGCTTAATGGCGTCTTTGTTTCCATTTTCACCAAGAAGTCTGATAATGAAGGAATGCCTAACGTAGTGGGAATGGGACAGATTTAGAAGATAAAATTTAAAAAGACCAAGTTAAAAATCACTTAGAAAAGTTAGATGTCTCAAAGTCACACCAGGGCCTGATGAAATGCATCCTAGAATACTCAAGGAGCTGATAAAGGCGGTAACTGAGCTTTTAGCTATTAACTTTGGAAAGTCATGGAAGTCAGGAGAGATTCCAGAGGACTGGAAAAGGGCAAATCTAGTGCCCATCTATAAAGAGGGAAATAAGAACAACCCAGGAAACTACAGACCGGTCAGTTTAACTCTGGGCCAGGGAAGATAATGGAGCAAGTAATTAAGGAATTCATCTGCAAACACCTGGAAGATAATATGGTAATGGCCAGCATGGATTTGTAAAGAACAAATCATGTCAAACCGATCCGATAGCTTTCTTTGATAGGATAACGAGCCTAGTGGATAAGGGAGAAGTGGTGGGCGTGGTCTACCTACACTTTAGTAAGGCATTTGACATGGTCTTGCATGATCTTCTTATCAACAGACATGAGAAATACAACCTAGAAGGGGCCACTATGGGGGGGTGAAGAACTGTCTGGAGAACCATTCTCAGGGATTGGTTATTAATGGGTCAGTCATGCTGGAAGAGCATAACGAGTGGAATTCCACAGGGGGCCCGTTTTGGGACGGGTTCTGTTCGATATCTTCAGCAACAATTGAGAAATTGGCATAGAGAGGACAATTATTAAGTTTGCGGATGATCCCAAGCTGGTAGGGGTTGCGACTGCTCTGGAGGATGGGTCAGAATTCAAAATGATCTGGACAAATTGGTGAAATGGTCTGAGATAAACAGGATGAGGTTTAATAAAGACAAATGCAAAGTGCTCCACTTAGGCAGGAACAATCAGTTCCATACATACAGAATGGGAAGCGACTGTCTAGGAAGGAGTCCTGCAGAAAGGGATCTAGGGGTCAGAGTGGACCACAAGCTACATGTGAGTCAACAGTGTGACACTGTTGCCAAAAAAAAAAAAAAAGCAGCAGCAGACATGATTCTGGGCTGCATTAACAGGAGTGTTGTGAGCAAGACACGAGGAGTCATTCTTCTGCTCTACTCTGCGCTGGTTAGGCCTCAGTAGGAGTATTGTGTCCGGTTTTGGGCACTGCATTTCAAGAAAGATGTGGAGACATTGGAGAAGGTCCAGAGAAGAGCAACAAGAATGATGAAAGGTCGAGAGAACATGAGCTATGGGGGGG